TCAACCATTCATGTTGATGTCCACCCGCCCCTCTTTCCTGTGAGTTGAACATGTTCCATCCCTTGTGGCTTCCTGGGTTTTCATCCCATTTCTTGTGGCTTCCTGGGTTTTCGTGTCCACGTTTTTCTGTTCTCACCTAAGAAATGCTCTCAGACATTTAGATTTCTGAGTCTCCACAGTGCTCTCTGTCTACAGGCATCTTCTGCCCTGTTGACATCAAATTAAGTCAGAATTGTGTATTTTTTTTTTTTTTGCTTTTTGGGTCACACCTGGCGATGCACAGGGGTTGCTCCTGGCTCTGCACTCAGGAATTACCCCTGGCGGTGCTCAACAGACCATATGGGATGCTGGGAATCAAACCTGGGTTGGCCGCATGCAAGGCAAATGCTCTACCCTCTGTGCTATCGCTCTAGCCCCAAGAATTGTGTATTTTTATCTCTGTTTTCCCCCCGATGTCAGACTGTGAAGACATTTAGTCACCTCTTGGTTCCTCTGGCCAATGTGGCACCTGCCTGTTGTTAAAAAAGAAAATTCTTTGAAAAAGCAGTTTTGGGGATTGAAGTGACCTTTAGGAGATTCTTGGGAAATGGTCAATAGCTCATAGCTGCCGCTAGTACAAATATGGGGGACCAGAGCCTTCTAGGCTGTGTTTATTCAGGAAGGCTAATGAGACTCGTTAGCAGCATGGTTGTCCTAGTATAGATATTCCCAATGTGTATAAACAAGCAGCTTAAGTCATGTAACCTGCTCCATCCTCTCTCCATATCTACGACACCATTTAAATTGGTGCCACCTGCTTCTTCAGCTTCAGCTGCCACCTCTTGCACTCTGCATGCATATTATGCCTCACTCATATTTTGTCTTCTTTATCCACCATGTTAGTTTGGTTCATGACTGAGATATCATTGTAGAAATGTTAATTTCCCCCAAATGAACTCCTAAGGTGATGGCTGGTGTTCTAATAGAAAATTCTAATAGGCAATTTGAAACATTGACAATTCTACAGAATGACAAATAAATAGTGCAAATTTGACAGACAAGCAGGGCTGAGGTACTTGCCCTTCAACCATGATGACTGGCTACCAAACCATAGTAATAAAACCTTGTGGTATAAACCCAAGACCAGACCAGAATGTTCAGAGCAGACCCAAGTAGATTTGGAAACCTCAAACTATTTTGGAAAGAATGGGTCAATAAAAGATATTGAGAAACTGGCTCCTTCCATAAAGAAAAAGAAAATCAGATCTTTATCTTGCATCATGTATAGAATTGAACTCTAGATGGCTTAGTGTACGTAAATGTAAAAATGTAAATGTAAAAAATGTAAAAAAAAAAACAAAAACAAAAAGACAAAAATAACACCCCCCTCCCAAAAAAACCCCACCAAACTAAAAGCTAAAGGAAGAGATATAATATTTTTCTGACCTTGGGATTGAGAAGGATTCCCTAAATCGTACTGATATATGGGGATGGAAATTGGCGCAACCATTCTGGAAAACAGAATGAAATTTTTCTAAGAAGTTAAAAATAGGGCAATATTGTAAGGCAGGAGATAGAAATGTAAGGGCCGCCCGGGGTAATAGTCATGAAAGAGTTAAGTGGTAGGAAAGAGTTAACCAGAAAACTGTAAAAGCTGTGAAAGCTAGAGTTGCGAAAACTGGCTTGAAAGAGTTATAATGTAGCTCCCACCTACACCCTGCTATGACCTTGTGGTTGGGCCAGATATGGGGACTTGTGCTCAGATGTTCCGAAGAAGTTAATCTTGTGCAAGTGTCGTGCTGTTCTTGGTAAAGCTGCAGATTGCTGTACTGTAAGATTTCTTTGTTTATTCTTGGTTATAAAAACCCACTGTACTTTGGCTCGGGGCTCTCTGCCTCTGTCCTGTTTTCGGGACATGTAGTGAGCCCCAGCATGCTTGGACAATAAACCCTGTGCGTGTTGCATGAGAAAGTCTCTTGGAGTCTTCCTTCATGGGTGGCGAGCGTCTCGACCCTAACGATATGATACAGCAACCCCACTGCTGGGTATATATGTGAAGAATAGGAAAATAACCTAAAAGTTAAGTTCACCCCAATATGTATGCAGTATTACTATTTTTAATAGCTAAGATATAGAAACAATGTTTTTTTATCATGGATAATGAAGATATCACACACAGGAATATTATTCAGCTGTAAAAAGATAGAACTTCACCATTTGCAAAGAAAATGAAATGAACTTGAGGGTGTTAAGTGACGTGAAATAAGTAAGAAGAAAATACAAATGTTACATGATTTTACACATCTGGGGAAAGTAAGGGTATGAAAATTTATGAATGAGCAACATAAAATAAAAACAACCAGTGGACATTTACAACAGATCTAAGATGGCTGGAGCGATAGCACAGCGGGTAGGGCGTTCGCCTTACAAGCGGCCAACATGGCCGACCCGAGTTCGATTCCTCCGCCCCTCTCGGAGAGCCCGGCAAGCTACCGAGAGTATTCGATATGCCAGACACAGTAACAACAAAGTCTCCAATGGAGATGTTACTGGGCCCGCTCGAGCAAATCGACGATCAACGGGAGGGCCTTTACTTTACTTACTTTACTAAGATTACCTGAGGGAAAGCAGATGGGGGTAAGAAAAAGGATGAAAATAAGAGAGTGGTGCTGGGAAATGTACACTGGTGGAGGGATGGATGTTGGAACACTGATGACTGAAACTAAATTATGAACAGCTTTGTAAATATCTATCTCACAGCGATTCAACAATAAAATCTTAGAAAGAAAAAGAGAGTGATAGGATTAATTTTTTTCTGTAAAATAATCACACCAAAATGTCTATAAAAAGCAAAAAACCAAAAAGATGAAGAGCTACCAATTTTAAGATTATTGTTTCACAAAGGACACGAGAGAAGTTTCCAGCCTTTGGAAACAGATTAAAATTTAGACTGTCCAAAAATGTTTCGCAAGTCATAAAGAAAAAGACCAATAGAAAAATCAGCAGGCAAGTATAAAAAGACAACTCACAGAAGGCACCCCAAATGGCCTAAAGGTATATGAAGAAATAAATTCAATTTCACCAGGAGCCAAAGAAATGTGGATTAGAACAAAGATGTGTTGATACTAACCTCCTCTGATACTGACATGTTAGAAAACTGGCAAATTCGAGGAATGGGAATTTGTAAGGCACCTAGAATGGTGACTGGTATAGGAAATAGAGTTTTTGTTTATGAAGAAATAGGCAGCTCGTGCCAGGAAAGAGAGGGGTGAGGGACAGGAACCCTAGTGATACTTGCTAAGTGTAGCCAAAGGCACAGTTCTGGGGTGTGGTCTAGCAGTGTTTGGTTAAGTTCCCACCAGGCTACACTAATCACCTTTGTGCTGTTGTGCTCCCTATGGGGTAGATGAATTTGAAAAAAAAAAAAAAAGGAAACAACCACACTCTTTGTCCAGTCTTCAAGGTCCTGACTTGATTAAGGAGCTGAGCTCTTTGGGAAGAAGGGCAATTTTTCTCTAGTAGCTCACTTGACATGGAAAAGAAGCTTTTGGTGGTTTTTCAGTCCTCATTGGCCCCTCTGGAAGGATGTCTAGTTGTATGGGACAAGACCTTTGCATAACTGAATGTGATGGCCCCCTTCATCTCCTGTAGCTTTAACCATTCCACTCCTGAGAGTACATGTATCAGCTACAGAAAGTAGGTATCTATTTCTGCACAGAAATAGATATATCTGTGTCTATATCTATTTCAAAGAAACTTATACACAGATCCATAAGGGAACATGGACAAAGAGGACCATCATCGCATTGCTTGTGGCATGGAAGTCTTAATAGATAGCCATCACTTGAAGGGTGGAAGTGAAATGAAGTAGACATCTAATAGGGAACATTATAAACAGCAGCCAGAAGCAATGAACTGGATTACAAAAACACATGTAATGGGAATCCATCCTCCAAATGAATATTGAGTGAAAAAAAATGCCGAAAATGCAATAATCCCCATGTCCAATATCAGTATTAAATTTGAAAACTTTTCACTAATAAAAATGCAATCCACTTTTCATAGCTGCCTATCATCCAGTCTAGCTCAAATGACTTCATGGGAGAGGAAGGGACGATGGAACAAAGAGGGTAAATAAAATATGAGAGGGGGGGACTAAAGAGATAATGCAGCAGGTCTGGTGCTTGCCTTGCACGCAGCTCAGCCAGGTTTGATCTCGGGCACCGGCATCTATTAGGTTTCCCCGGAGCACTGCCAGGAGTGATTCCTGAGTGCAGAGCCAGGAGTAACTCTGAGCATTGCCACGTGTGGCCCAAACAGACAGAGATGTCCTACACATTTCATGAACCAAGACATTTAATTTCCACAGTTCCCTGGACCTGAAGTGTTTCGGGGTGGCGAGAAGATGAAGGAAGGGCCATGAACGGGGAGCTCCTGACGCTGGGCACATTTGTATGGTGTGACTCTACATACTTTTTTTGTGTTTTCCCAGACAGACTTGAGTTCTGTTCCTCACTTTTTCACCTTTAGTGACAAAATACTTTGGAAGCAGGATTCGTTTTCTCTTTCTTCATATGCCTTGGAATCTTTCCTCATTCAAAATCTTCTGGCCCACATTTCCTTCTAAACGTGGACCCTTGCCTGTGTTTTGCCATCCATCACCCTCACTGGCTAAAAGTCTCAGGTCCACGCTGTCTTTCAGAAACACCTCCCCCGCCCCCATTGGTAGGCCCGCCCACAACGGGGAAATTTGCATGCCCGGCTCCGCCCAGGAGCTCGTCTCCTAGGCTCCTCCCCTTTCGAACTCCACCAGGCCCCGCCTCTAAGGGGCGTGGCTGTTGCCAGGCGACGGGAAGACGCGCGCCGAGGGCCGGGTTACAGCCACCAGCCAGGGAAAACAAATAACGCGGCGCTGCTTTAGACGCTGGGGTGGGGAATTATACTGTCCCTTCCTCAGACTCCGGTTCACTCTCCGAGGTCTCCACAGCGGCCGCTGAGGCCAACCCCCAGAGAGCGACAAGATGTCCGAGGTCAGGAGTCAGCGCCTTTCTCTCTCTAGCCTTTTTCTTCGCCCCTCCCCAACATTCACTCCTATTATTGTCACATCCAGTGTTTCCTCCGCCCCTACAGCCTCCACGGATCCTGTTCCCACCCGCGGCCTTATCTACCCACCTTCTCCCCTTTGGCTCTGACCACCCCGTTACCTTCTATTCTTCCCCACTATTGATCTGTATGGTAGGAAAATTCATGACTCCTGAGTGATTCACCTAATTGAGCCCTCCTAAATTTGGAGTGACTATAAGGTGATACGACAAAAAAGGTGCTTTTGAAGGATTGATGCCTCATTGATGGAGGAGACCTAGGAGAAAGCTTCATCTATAACCATCGCCACCACTGCTATTCATCGGTGCTGTCATCCTATCACCAGCTCTGACACACCTTCATCAAGGCCCTGGAACACAATGCCACTGCCCCCTCTTATCAATGATCACCCATCTGTCCCCCTCCAATCCGTCCCCCGTGTTCTGATTCACAGACACCTTCCCCTCACTGATGAGGGGTCATGATCCCTTACCCTTAGAATTCCTGTAACCTTGGCAACCTCAAGTTTCTATCATCCCCACATCCTCTATGGCCCCATTCCAAAAGACTTCATTGATCAGATCCCTCCCCCAATGTTACTCATCTCGTGGTTAGTGTCCAGCAGGAGCAGCTCTGCTCTTTTCAAGGCTGAGTGAGAAATGAAAATGCCCTTGTTAAAGAACTGACAGTCGCATAGTAAAAGGAGTGTGGACTCTGCCTGATGCCACAACTTGGGGCCTTCTACAACTGCGTAGCCAGCCCTGGTCCCAGTTCCTCTAATCACTATCATGCCTCCATCTCTAGTTGCAGTTTCTTGTCTCCTCCACACCAGTGGTTTTCACCCTTTTTCAAACCTGTGGATTGGGTTTCAACTCTTTCACACCTGTGGATTGTTGAATGTTGAAAAACACTCTCTACAACAGAAAAAGAGCCTCTATCATTCCAGCTTCTCCATCTCTAATCTTCATTGTATGGGCTAGCAGGGTAGATAACAAATGCTTTTGGTCACAACTAAGAGCTATTTTTAAAATTTTCTTTTTAATAGTATATTTAATCCACTAAAAAAAATTGGTGGTGCTCAGAGCTACTCCTGGCTCTATGCTGGAGAATAGGGCTAAGTGCCCAGAAATTCTGGGAAACCAAGTGGTACCAGGGATTAAACCCAGGCATCCCACATACAATGCATGTACTCTGTGTATTAAACTATATCTTTGGGCCCTGGCCTGAGTTATAAGTAAGGCCCCATTTTCTAGACCCAGAGTATATGTTTTTAATGATAGGAAAACTCTCTTAGTTATAAGTTTCTTTGAAACTTTTATTTCTTTGATAGTTTCCCATTCCTGTGCTAATGCCAGGCATACAGGGAAAACTCAGCCTGCAAACAAATCATTAGGCTGGTGATCAAGTGTTGACGTTAATACCATTTACAGGGATAGAACTGAGAACATTGCTGTGATAAATTTTCGTGTGTGCTTATGTTTAGCATCGACAAGGGGAAAGAATAGAGCAGTAGCAGTATCATATTTCCTTAATAGGATTTTTCCTCCTTTGTGGAATTTCTATATTGTGATCTTGGCAATAATCTGCTTTTAGTCAGGAAGGAAACCTCTGTTGAGTTTAACATCAGAACTAATATTATTATACAAAAAATGTTTTAGCTTATGTTTGTGACTCCACATCTATTTTAAGATGTGAATTCTGTTTTGCTTATATGTCATCTTTAGAAATTTAATCAGTAGTAGAAATGTTTTGGAAAATTGAAAATATGTAGTTTTGTCCAAATTGGACAAAATGTAGAAAAAAAACAAAAAATAGAAAAAAAGGATTGGGGTTAGAGAGATAGTACAGATGACTAGGGTTCTTATTTTTGGTGTGACCCCCCCAAAAAAAACAAAAGTCAAAACAAATTGGACAAAATGGGGTTGTCTAAGCATAACTAGACTATTTACTTAAATAGTTTTAGGCAAATTTGAATTTTACTATATTATTGGGATTAGAGATGCTCTCAGTTGATTTTTAAAATTAGTAATTGAATTTTGATGCCAAGGTTTACTTTGGTGTGGGCTGTAAATGCATATCTTGCAAACATCAGGGGATTCTTTTACAGTTCTTTGTTTGAAAGTCATGAGTGGTTCCCTGTGGTCTATAGAATAATTAATTCCGTGTTCACTAAAATCCCATTCAAGTTCTTCATTGTCTGTGATTTACTCCCTGCCTAGTTTCCTCCTCCTCTTTGCCATACTTCTTGCATTTCAGCCAATTTGAGCTTCTCCCCACAATCTCACAACTTGAGCTTTTAAACCTATTTCAAATGCTAGCTACCGGTTTTGTCTTAAAACTTTTCCTCCTTATCCATTTGGCCTTGCTCAAATATTACTTCCTTTTAGAAATTTACTCTAATATTTGCGCTTGGAGCAATTCCTTTCTACTGAGGTCATCATAAAACTTAGAATCCACTTATGGCAGATATCAAATTAGTCATTGCTATTTAGGCTTTATCAGGAAGATCTATTTATTGTTACTGTTTGATAAAGAAACTCAATCTGTTGGTATATCTCCTACAGCCGTCATTGTTCCAAACTACTTATAGCAACCCATCGGTATTGGATGAATAGGTGTCTTAGTCATTTAAAACTATTAAAAATTGTGCTGTATCTTACAATTAGTAGGTGTATTTATTTGCTAGGGCAGCTAAGGTAGCTAATTTGTGAATTGGGTGATTTATTTTTTAAATTTATTTATTTTTGCTTTTTGGGTCACACCCAGCTGATGCTCGGGAGTTACTCCTGGTTATTCCTCTCTCAAGCCCCTAGCCTAACTTTTTAAAGGATAAAAAGTATCAATGATCAGGGCTGCAGCAATAGCACAGTGGGTAGGGCGTTTGCCTTGCACGCGGCCAACCCGGGTTCGATTCCCAGCATCCCATTTGGTTCCCTGAGCACCGCCGGGAGTGATTCCTGAGTGCAAACCCAGGAGTAACCCCTGAGCATTGCATTGCTGATTCAAAAAGCAGAAAAAAAAAACAACCAAATTTATCAATGATCTTTTTGGACCATGTTCTATTTTTCAGATAAGTTTCACCTGGACTGTCCATCATTTCATTCTACTTATCCCAGAATAACCTTTGTGACCTCAGTGTGTCATGCCTTCCCTTGGCAGTCCTGGTGTCAAAAAGAATTAGAACGGACTGAAAAGAGAACAGGGATTAGAATAATCATTACGGCTATCAAAACTTAGCAAGTGCCTACTATTTGCCAGGCACTTGGCAAATACTAAACCTAGGTTATCTCATGTAACCTAATCCTTACCAACCCCCATCGGGTATGTAACCTATGAGAGATGCAATGCTCATTCCCATCCTTACTCTTTTGTACAGGAAAAAAGTGAGAAGCCAGTGCTGGAAGAAATGGCATTTGAAGAAATCGAAAGGGATTTCCAGCAGGTTCTCAGTGAACTTTCAGGAGATAAGAGTCTGGAAAAATTCAGGGTTGAATATGAAAAACTGCATTCTGTCTTGAAAAGGTCTTATGATAATGAGAAGCGCCTGATGGCCAAATGCAGGGAGCTCAATGCAGAGATTGTGGTGAATTCTGCAAAAGTCGCCACTGCCCTGAAGCTCTCTCAAGACGATCAAACCACCATTGCATCCCTGAAGAAGGTCAGTGATCTCTGAGAAACAGAACCAGTGGGGAGTTGTCATAAACGCATCCTGTGTTTAATGCCTCACTCTTTCATTATATTGGCAGCTCTAGGCTGGCAGTAAAAAAATTATTAAGTAAAAATTTACTTGATTTATATATCCATTACACCAAGGGAATAATGTTTCTAGGAAATACTGAGTTAGCAAAAATAATTGGAAATGACATCTAATTATAAATTCCAAATTAATATTTAGGCATTAAGAACATCACACTTTATCTCTAATCTTAATCTTAGTATGTCTTGTTTGAGGCAAGATGAGTAATTCAATATCTCACGATGATAGCCTGTTTGAGATATTTGCATATTTATAATTTACATACCATTCTAGGAGAGATTACCTTGAAAATGCCCAGATGTTAATTTTCATTATCTTTTTTTTTCCCTCTTGCCTTTCCTTTCACCTTAATCTTCCCAGTTCCTCATAATAGGGAAATGGGGATTCAGTCTGGGGAAGAAGTATTGTTTTGATTTACACTTTAATTTTTTGTTTGTTTTGGGGTCATGCCTGCTGTTCTTGCACTACTCCCTACCTTCTGTTCCAGTGTGATTTCCAGCAATGGTTGGGGGAACTTGTAGTGCTGGGGATGAACTCAGTCCTCCAGCATGCAAAACTGTGCTCCAACCCTTTGAGCCATCTTCCCAGTTCTATATTTTAATTTTTTGTTCTCAATTATGTCCATTAACTTGAAGGCAAAACATAGATGTTCCTTAGAGATAACAGAGTGACAGAAGATTAAGACATTTTACCTTATAATGAAGACTCTAGTCCCAAATCATTTGCAAATTTTTGAGATAATTCTTTTGATATCATGCAATTAAACTTATTCCAGTTCAAATTAATTTCCAAGACTAGTGCAAAGTAAAATATAGCTATTTTCTTAGAAATTTATTTTTTGGGGGAAGGTGGGGACACATTTGGTGGTGCTCAGGATTTAACTCTGGCTCTTTGCTCAGAGATCACACCTGGCTGATTTAAGTGGATCATATGGGGTGTCAGGAATCAAACTCAAGTCAGTGGTATGCAAGATAAGCACCTTTACCCACTGTACTAAGTCTCCAGCCCCAGAAACTTTTTTTTTTTTTGCTTTTTGGGTCACACCTGGCATTGCACAGGGGTTACTCCTGGCTCATGCACTCAGGAATTACTCCTGGTGGTGCTGGTGGGACCATATGGGATGCTGGGAATCGAACCCGGGTTGGCCACATGCAAGGCAAACACCCCACCTGCTGTGCTATGGCTCCAGGCCCCTCAGAAACAATTTTTAAAGTGTCACTTTCTTTATGTCCTTGCTGAAATACCTACCTAAAATAATTTTATTATAAAAGCACTTATAAATAAGAGCTGGAAATGGAAGTAATAAAATCTAATTGGGAAGGTTGATTTGGACAAAAATTCATATAATCATATTTCCATTAAATATCCTTCATTTCTTTTGCTAAAAATAGTGCATGTGATTGCTACATAAATACATAACACTAAACTGATATTTATTTTGAAACTCTAAATTATGGGATATCATTACCCCAGAATCATCTGTCTCTGTAATGTGATTGTTGGCATGGATTTGTTAAATTAAACACTCTTTTGCACTTATTTTGTTCCTCGTCAACATAAAAGTAGAATATTTTTACCTATACCTTATAGTGTCTTATCTGTATAAAGGATTCACATTTTATGTGGCAGAATTTTGCAAGAAATGTAATAGCAAGGTAAAACTTGGGGTCATTGCAACATTTGCTGTGCTCTGATCATGTGCTAAAAAGGTTAGTTTCCTCTTTTAAGTGTTTATTTACTATTGCACTTTGAATTTCATAATAGTACCGATAGCACAGCGGGTAGGGCGTTCGCCTTACAAGCGGCCAACATGGCCGACCCGAGTTCGATTCCTCCGCCCCTCTCGGAGAGCCCGGCAAGCTACCGAGAGTATTCGATATGCCAGACACAGTAACAACAAAGTCTCCAATGGAGACGTTACTGGGCCCGCTCGAGCAAATCGACGATCAACGGGAGGGCCTTTACCTTTACCTTTACCTTTATGAAAGACAAAGCTGCATGAGTCACTGCTTTCATTTCCTACTTTTTTAAAAAAAAATATGTTTGAGAGGCCCGAGCAATAGTACAACAGCTTGAGTGCTTGGCGTGCACATGGACAACCCAGGTTTGATCCCCAGAACCACATATAGCCCCCTAAGCCCCACATACTTGCTTGAGAGATTTTGGAATCACCAAGGCTGCTATATATAATTAAGTAACAGTGAAGACCATCCTCTGACAGCTTATTCTAGGGCTTCTGTTGCTCTCCAGGAGCTCCCTTGAAACCTGAAATCTGTCAAGAGCTTCTAATTTAGGGTTTTGGGTCCAAGACTAGACAGTTCTTCCCTACCTCCGCACTGCATAAAATATCTGGACTTGGAAAGTACCTAAGCTTACATTTTTAGTCACTTTTGTAAACCTATCTCAACATCTTTATTAGACATAGTCTCCCTAGCTTCAGGATGTAACCTTGTGGCTTATACTCACCAATCTAAGAAAAAATACTCATTGCCAATATCCCTCTTTAAAACTGCTGAATGAAAATGGTGAAAATTCAATAAGCCAATGTAGGTTTTCTGCATAATAGATTATTATATATCTTCTTGCTTCCTAGAAAGGACCACTCTATGGTTAATCTCTCATTCTTGTTTATTTTGCTTCTTCATCCTTGTGTGGTTGTTCTCACTGATATTCCATGACCCATATAGGAAATTGAAAAGGCCTGGAAGATGGTGGACGTAGCCTATGATAAAGAACAGAAGGCGAAGGACACAATTCTTGCCCTGAGAGAAGAAATAGTGAGCTTGACCAAACTGGTGGAGCAAGGGTCTGGACTATCGATGGACCAGGATAGCAAGTAGGACACAACCTTCTTGATACTGAACTTGCTTTTACAGAGGCCTTAACAGATGGGGACTTGCTAGTGCATCTAGAGCAGTGTTTATCAACCAGGGGCCATATGGTTCTCTGTAACCTCCAAGATACTCCAAGAGGACCACAAATGAGAACTGTATAAATGGGGGCCACAGCACAAAATTAGGGGGATAACTGGTAGGAAGGGAGGAAACAAGGACACAAAGGGGCACAACAAAGATGGCAAAACACTGATCTAGAATGGTTGTGTGTGTGTGTGTGTGTGTGTGTGTGTGTGTGTGTGTGTGCATGTGTGATACTGCACTCTCCTTCCTTGTGTCCCCAAAGATAGTTTTCTCTTTGATTTTCCTGTTTACTACTTTGGCACACTCAAAAACACCCAAATTTATGGTTATATTAAATTGCTCCCTTCCCTCTCTCTTTTAAAGAATCAAAACTACAAATGATCTTAAGTTTAATTCTATGGAAGTTGTTTGGGCTAGAGTCATCTGCTTTTCTGCTCAGTCCTCCTGTTAGAGGGATTCCATCATGTTTATTCCTCCAACCCTTCTCAACCCCATTACTTCTGTTTTAAACTTTGTCTTCTTGGCTCAGTCTTCTCAGGATCACTTGGTCTTCACCCCATGACAAGTTGTGGCTGTCTTATGTTTGGCCCCATGCTAACTAAGCTGGATTTGGTAATAGACTCCTAACTGGCCTCCTTATCTTCATCAGGGAGACTCTTCACTTTCTTTTTACCATGTGCAATATTCCAGACTGATGCTTCTGAAATTTGTACATGCATACTTTCACTTTCATGGACCTGCCCACACCTAAGTACAGAGCTCACAGTCTTGAACACAATTTCCACAACTCTTTATAGGTCTGTCCCAGTTAGTCTTGGGATAGTTTCACGTCATGGCCCCATACTTTTTTTTATTTTAATAATTTTTTTATTTTATAAAGTAGTTCACAATTTCATTACATTTAATATTCAAATACTAATCCCACCACCAATACACCTTTCCACCACCATATTTTGGATGTTTCCATCCCAAACCCCAATGCCTGCCCCAAAGCAGAACCAAAATAATTATTTTGTATTGTTTTTTATGAAAAACCACTGAAAATGCTATAAAAAAGTATCCTTAGAGGAAAGAGGGTAAAGATTGTTGTAGTCCACCCATGGGCCATTAAGCCCTTCTATAAGAGATCACTAACATATTGCTAGAAGTTGAGCCTTGTGTGCTTATATATATATACAGATATATATACATATGTATATGTATATATTTGTAAAAAATAATATTTCCCTCTAAGATTGGTTGCCTCCTACTTTGTTTTTTTTCATTTCTTGATTTTATTTAATTTAAAAAATTTTTATTAGTGAAACACCATGAGGAACAGTTGTTGACTTACAAATTTTTGTGCTTGGGTTTCAGTTATACAATGATCGAGTACCCATCCCTCCACCAGTGCCCATTCTCTACCACCACTGATCCCAGTATCCCTCCCACCCTGCATCCTCCCATCCCACCCCGCCTCTGTGGCAGGGAATTCCCTTTTGTTCTCTCTCTCCTTTTGGGTGCTGTGGTTTGCAAAAGAGGCATTGAGTGGCAATCATGTTCAGTCTATAGTCTACTTTCAGCATGCATCTCCCATCCTGGGAGGATCCTCCCAACACCCTTTATTTGGTGCTCCCTTCTCTATCTGAGCTGACTTTTTCCCTAGCATGTGCGGCTGGCTTCCAAGCTAAACCTCCTGGTACTTATCTCGGCTATTCTTGGGTGTTAGTCTCCTATTTTGTTACTTTACGTTCCCCAGAGGGCTGGAGCGATAGCTCAGTGGTAGGGCGTTTGCCTTGCACACAGCCAACATGGCCAACCCGAGTTTGATTCCTCTGCCCCTCTTGGAGAGCCCGGCAAGCTACTGCGAGTATCTCGCCCGCACGGCAGACCCTGGCAAGCTACCCGTGATGTATTTGATATACCAAACACAGTAACAACAAAGTCTCCAATGGAGATGTTACTGGGCCCGCTCGAGCAAATCGATGAACAACGGGAGGACATGATGTTCCCCAGATGAATGCAATCTTTCTATGTCTGTCCTTCTCTTTCTGACTCATTTCGCTTAGCATGATACTTTCCATGTAATACCACTTGTATGTAAATTTCATGACTTCATCTTTTCTAACAGCTACATAGTACTCCATTGTGTAGATGTACCAATGTTTCTTTCTTTTTTTTTTTTTATTTATTTCTTTATTGAATCACCGTGGGAAAGGTTACAAAGCTTTCAGGTTTAGGTCTCAGTCATGCAAATATCAAACACATTTCCCTTTACCAATACTTATTTTTTACCATGAAGAACCCCAATAAAACCCCACCCCCACCCCTCCCAGTCCCTGTGGGGCAGATGAATTCTAGTTAACACTCTATCTGCTTTGATTAGATTCATTGTTTCAATAAAAGATTCACCACTATTATTTAGAGTTTACCCGCCCCCCCCAAATCAGACATGCTGAAAAAGCATTGTGAAGTGATTTGCTTTCTACAGCTGGGTTCAAGAATTAAATGTTGGTTTTGGATTTCTGCTATTTTACTTATTGACCCTGGAAGTATTTCTACTGAAAGTCAGATAGTTAAGAAATTGGTTTCTGTGCTCTGGAGTTGTGGCCGTGCTGGAGAGCCGCTCGTGGGGGGCAACTGGTGACCTCGGTAGGGCGTGAAGGACGGATCGGAACGCCCCCCTACCCATGAGGTTTTAGTCGCCCCCACACCCCCGGCTCATGCCTGCTGTCCACAAGGCTCCCATGTGGCCGCCATCTTTCTTTCCAGAGAGGAGAGGGCGAATGGGGCAACACCCTTTCCCCTCCAGCAGACTTGATGGCCTGGATTAACACATAGTCCGTTCACTTTTCTGCTCCAAGCTGCTGGGTTCTGCATTAAATCCTTGTGTTTCTGGGGCTGTGGCCGTGCTGGAGAGCCGCTCGTGGGGGGCAACTGGTGGCCTCGGTAGGGCGTGAAGGACGGACTGGAACACCACCCTTCCCATGAGGTCTTCGTCGCCCCCACACCCCCGGCTCATACCTGCTGTCCACAAGGCCCCCATGCGGCCGCCATCCTTCTTTCCAGAGAAGAGAGGGCGAATGGGGCAACACCCTTTCCCCTCCGGACAGACATGATGACCTGGATTAACGCATAGCCCGTTCACTTTTCTGCTCCAAGCTGCTGGGTTATGCATTAAGTCCTTGTGTTTCTGGGGCTGTGGCCATGCTCCAAACTTAACTCTGATTTTCAGGGAGAACAGTTGGGTGGTTTACTTCCCATGGATCACTTTGTATATAGAGAGAAGTCGCGTGGCCGGTTTTGAGGAAAAGTCCTAGTTCCCGCATACTCGAGCTGTGCTTGTAGAGGCTTCTGGTCACCGGGGTTCCATCTGGGGGAGGTGGGATGCGGTACCTACCCCATCTGGGACTTCCTGATGATCTCGGCTCTTTTTGGAACCTGTTTTTTTTTTTTTCCCTTCGGGATCTGTGGATCCCGCCCTCCATGTTGTCCTTCTCTTCGGCTGAGTGCTCCCAAAGTTTCTTTAACTAGTCATCTGTTCTTGGGCACTCAGGTTTTTTCCAGATTCTAGCTATTGTAAACAGTGCTGCAATGAACAAACAAGTGCAGATGTCACTTCGACTATACTTTTTTTTGCCTCTCTGGGATATGTTCCCAGGAGTGGTATTGCTGGGTCAAATGGGAGCTCAATTTCTAGTTTTTTGAGAATCATCCATACTGTTTTCCAAAAGGGCTGAACCAGTCAGCATTCCCACCAGCAGTGAAGGAGGGTCCCTTTCTCACTACATCCACACCAACACCGGTTGCTTTTGTTCTTTTGGATGTGGGCCAGTTTCTATGGTATCAGATGATATCTCATTCCTGTTTTGATCTGCATCTCCCTGATGATTAATGAAATAGAGTGTTTTCTCATGTGAATGGCCCCATACTTTTGAACAGCTCTTTTAGGATGACAGGAACACCTTTTCTACCCTGTGAACAGTATTTATCTTTCAAGATTCATCACAAACACCACCTTCACTTAACAGTAGCACCTCTGTTCCAATTCCTCCCCACCTCATCTCTGCTGACCAAGGTAAAGAGTGACCATGCAACCCAATATGCATCTCCTGTGTGACACTGATTACATTGTATTTGCTACGTGCTTCTCTACCCATGAGGATGTAAACTTCTTGAAAAAAAGAGTCTGGGCAGGGCACACAGTACCTTGCATTAACTAAGGAATCATGAATCAGGATAGCTTCCTTGGGCAAACCTGACTGAATCTCATTGTTGCCTTGATTTCCTATGCTTTATAGATGCATATGTGCATGCTGAAAGAGAGTTCTAAGTCTAGGGACTGGGATGATGGATGAAAAAGGATAAAAAATTAGTAAATGTGTATGTAAGGATGGGTTCTACTTTCTTGCTCGTAAAGTCAACTATATTCAGAATCACTTCTAAAGAGGAAGGTGAGGAAACGGATTCAGTCAGGTGTGTGTTTAAGCGAGAATGGGAACCTGGTGAGGGGAATGGAAGACACTGTCTTTTCATGATGATCATAGCATTTGAGGTTTTGTTTGTGGAGAAGAGTTTGAGTGCAGCTTAAGAAATTATTTTTTAAATGAGATTGAGATTTTGTGGTTTGCAATACTCATGCATGTAATTCCAACACAAAGCTCATCATCAGTGTACTTACCTTCTTCTCCCAAGGACCCACTACCTCTTCTTCTCAACACCTGCCCCTACCCTCCACCCTGCCACCTTTGCCTATGTTGCAACCTTGCCTTGTATCTTTAAGTCCCAAACATGCAAGAGAGATCATTCTGTTTCCTTTCCTTCTGACTGACTTCTTGAGTGCAGTTTTGAAGGCTCCTTATTAAATATTTATGCTATAGCCAAGCTGTTGATAAGTAAATATTGTCAAGTTGACTGTTTCGAAGCCATTTGATGACTGTCAGCTGCCAGGTCTCTTCTGCTTTCCGGCTCTCAAAGAGCTGCCGTGCTCTAGAATATCTCTGCTGCATAAGGCACATCCGACAAAGTTTCCACATCCATGATGCTACTTCTGCAGAAAGTGAGGCCAAATCATATGTAATGATTTTTAAAATGCACAGGTAACTTTGGCTCACAGTTCAAATCAATACATAGTATCACAAATCCCTCTCCACATTCCCAAAGAAAAAGGCATTATGAATGATTTTGCAAATTTCATTTTTGGGAATGTTTAATCTAGATTGTGTCCAGGTGTGAGAAACCAGTCCCTGTGGTGAATGGGTTGGAAACCAGCAGAAATGTGTCTGATGTACTTACGTTAATGCTTCATTATAGGCTTCATAGCGGTGATAATAGCCCTCCAGTAGGTATATTAAACAAATCATTTCCTAAATTGACATCTCCTTGAGGTTAATTACATCCATTGCCGACAATAATATAGTTTCATGGCAGCTAGATTAAATAATTAAGATGTGGGGGAAAGTTAAGAGAAAAAAAATCACCCTCCCTGGGGCTGGAATGATAGTACAGCGGGGTAGGGCATTTGCCTTGCACGCGGCTGAACGGGTTCGATTCCCAGAATCCCATATGGTCCCCTGAGCACCGCCAGGAATAATTCCTGAATGCATGAGCCAGGAGTAACCCCTGAGCGTCACTGGGTATGACCCAAAAAGAAAAAAAATCACCCTCCCGGCCTCTCCAACTCTTTTTGCCTATATTCCTTTCTGTAGAGGCAACCAGTTACCAGTTTGGGGGTCTGCTTTTCAGAATTTCCATAAAAATGTGAACAAAACACAGGTATATAGCGATCCAGTGATTTCTTAAAATTCAGAAAAGTGGACATGTTGTATATAATACTATAGAACTATAGTATACATAATAATATAGAACTATGTAGCCCACAATCAGTGCCTGGCCAAGGCATAGAGATCTTTCTCTTTCTCACTTGGATCATGTTTATGCTTGACCTGAATGAATCTTTCTCCTGAAAATGAGCCAGAAGCTATTAGCAAAAGAGCCCTGAGCAGAAGCAACCGTGCTCTGATTTCTGTGTTCTCTTTTAGCATCCGGGATTTACTGAAGTTCAAAGAAGAAGTGACCAAGGAGCGAGATCAGCTCTTGTCGGAAGTGGTGAAATTACGGGAGGCCTTAGCGCAAAGCACTGAACAGCAGCAAGAAACCGAGCGCAACCGTGAAGACGCTGAGCAGACCATCACGCAGGTGGGGTTGGTGCAGATGAGGGCACCATGGAGGAGCATTGCTGGAGGACACAGTGCTTTCCCCAGCTCCCTTCCTTTCCTTCCTTGCTGACTTATACCTGTTGGGGCCCAAAGGAAACATTCATTGTTCTGCTTGTTTCTCTGGCTTGTTCTTACTGGAGCAGTGTTCCTTGTCATTCTTCCCAGCATTTTCTGTTGGAAGTCAATTAAACAGGGCACTGCTTAGAGTTTTGGCTCAAGAAAGTCTCCCTGAGGAAGACCAGGGCACCCTGCATCTGGGGGATAGTGGAGATAGTTTCTTTGGCTCTTGATGAGGAAACCCTATAGCAAATTCTTTCTAACATTTTTCTACAGAGTCAAAAGTCTGACAGATAACACATACTTGTAGCCTCCAGAAGCAAAAGAAGTGAACAGTTATGAGAAGCACTTTTTAGAGACTTTCCAGATTAAACTAGAGTGCTCTGTTTAGTGATGTCCAAGACACATGTAAAATACCATTTCATAGATAGGGTGGTGGGCTGTGTTTTATTGAGTTCCGATTAATGAATCCTTTCCCTGTTTAAACTGGCTAGAATTCTGGGCTTTCCTGCTTTATTAGATTTTATACCATTCTTGGTGGATTTGTTTCTACCCTCTATGTATCAAGGCTCTGGAAAACACAGCAATATGTTCTTGCAAAGTTCTCGAACACTCAACGTGTCGCTAAATATCCAGGGTAGACTACTACCAAATGGCCACCTTGAAAAGAAAAGATCTGAGAGGGGAAATTTGATGCGTTAAATGAGAGTTGTTCATCTTTTTCCTGTCCTTTCTCTGCCTGTAGTTCCAACAAGAGATCCAGCAACGTCAGAATGAAGCATCTCGGGAGTCTCGGAAGAAGGAAAAACTAGAGAAAGAGCTGAAGCAGATTCAGATAGACATGGACAGCAGGCAGACAGAAATCAAGTCCCTGCAACAGTATGTGCAGAAGAGCAAGGAGGAGCTGCTGAGACTGGAACAGCAGCTGAAGGAACAGAAGGTGCGCTTGGTGTGGGCTACACCAGGGGTCCTCATACAAGTAACAACTTTTTTGTGGTCTGTCGGAACATTTAGAATTTTCTTCGGTGGCTTGTAAACACCCTGTACTGCATTTGGTTTTTGAAAGCTAATTTTGGAGGGGGTGGTGAGGATGGGGCAGAACAACAGGTGGTACTCAGTATATACTCATGACCCTGTGCTCAAGGTTCACTTTTGGTGAGGTCCAAGGGGACATGCCAGATTGAATCCACATTGGCTGTGTGCAAAGCAAGTGCTCTACCTGCTGTATTATAGCTCCAGTCCCCAAAAGCTCTTATGGGTATATAAGCTTTCTCTTTCTCTCTTCCACCTCCCATTGGTTAATTTCTTTTTAATCTTATAATTGTATAGAAGATTACACGTTACAAAAATGTCACTCAGTGAATTTTTTCCATTGTATCTAGGGTCACCTAGACTTTGCCTAAGGAACAGCACCCAAAAGTCCACTTGAGATTCCTCCACGTCCCTCTTTCCCCAAGTGATCTGTTGTGAATTTAATCAGATTTTACAGGCTTGGAATCTTATATAGAATATAGTCATTTTTGTCTAACCTCTGACAGTATTCAGTTCATGAGATTTATTTATGTTGATGTCACATGGTTATAGAACTGTGTTTTTCAATATGGTAGTCATGAGCCATACATGGCTATGCAAATTTGGGTTATTTTGTTTTGTTTTGGTTTGATTTGGTTTTTGAGCCACGTCCTGCAACGCTCAGGGGTTACTCCTGACTCTGCACTCAGGAGTCACTACTGGTGGTGCTCAGGGGACCATATGAGATGCTGGGGATTGAAATCAGGTCAGTCACATGCAAGTCAAACATCCTACCCTCTGTACTATCACTCTGGCCCAAATTTGGGTTATTTAAATAAAATAAATTTAGTTCTTTGGTTGTACTAACAATATTTCAAGTTTTCAATAGTCACAGGAGACTAGTAGGTGTCAAGTTGTAGAGAGAAGATAGTTAATATATTAATATAGAAAGTTGTATTGGACAGAGTTCAATAGACCATTCATCCTTGTTGCTATTTTGTAATATTCTATTGTATAGCTCTGACATGATTTATTTATTTGTGTCTTTTTAAAATTGAATCATTGTGAGATACAGTTATAAACTTTCATGATTAAGTTTCAGTCATACAATGACCAATCACCCATCCCTCCCACCAGTGCCCAATGTTCCCTGTCCCCCTCCCAGCTTCCCCACCCCATCCCACCCCCGCCTCTGTGGCAGGTACATTTCTTCTTACTCTCTCTCTACTTTTGGTTTGCAACATAGATACTAAGAGGCCATCATGTTCGGTCATTAGTCTACTTTCAGCACTCATCTCCCATCCAGAGTGATTCCTCCAACCATCATTTACTTAGTGGCCCCTTCTCCATCCCAGCTGTCTTTTCAGGGGCTGGAGCGATAGCACAGAAGGTAGAGAGTTTGCATTGCACACAGCCAACCCAGGTTCGATTCCCAGCATCCCATATGGTTCCCTGAGCACCGCCAGGAGTCATTCCTGAGTGCAGAGCCAGGAATAACCCCTGTGCATTGCTGGTGTGACCCGCAAAAACAAAACCAAAAAAACTAACTGCCTCTTCCTCCAGCATGTGAGGCCAGCTTCCAAATGGTGGAGTAGTTCTCCTGGTCCTTATCTCTATTGTCCTTGGTGTTAATCTCATATTAGCACTGTAGCACTGTCCTGTAGTACTGTCCTCCTGTTGTTCAACGGTTTGCTCGAGTGGGCACCAGTAATGTCTCACAACAAACTGTGAGATTTGTTACTGTTTTTGGCATATAGAATACACCACGGGTACCTTGTCAGGCTCTGCCATGTGGACGAGATACTCTCCATAGCTTGCCAGGCTCTCTGAGAGGGGTGGAGGAATCGAACCTGGGTCGGCTATGTGCAAGGCAAATGTCCTACCTGATGTGCTATTGCTCCAGTGATTTTTAAAAAAATTTTTAAAACCTTTTTAAAATTGAGTTACTATGAGATAGTTACAAAACTTTCATGTTTGAGTTTCAGTCATGACATGATTTATTTTTGACATACTTATTCTTTTTAAAGTTTCAAGTTTAGGAAACTATACTCAGTCTTTATGGATTTAAAATATGACATTATTTAAAACATTTACTTAATAATAGAAATTTAAGATAACTCAGGTTAAATAGTAATAATTCCAATTTGTCTTTTTTTTTCTCATTTCTTAAGGAAGCAATTCATGTAACTAAAAAAAGTAGTTTCTTGACATTATTTTATCTTAGGAAGTTCCCACAGAATTGAAAAGTCATATAACATTTTCTACTTAAAAACCTTATGAGAATACCTATTTTTGTCATCTGCTTTATTAATCTTATGTTAAGCAAGAAATTAAATAGATTATTACATTATCTGTAATATGCACAAGAAAAAGACTTTGATGATGAAATTTGAGAGGATTTGAACATCAAAGCCTTTGCTTTGTTTAGCAGTATCCAAGATTCATGTGAAACACAACCTCAATTTTAGTGTAGCTGGGTATATTTTATTTAGTACCTATCGATGAGAAATTGGGTGATTAACTTTTGCTGGCATGGAAATTCTTTTTTAGAATGACTGTGCAAGCTATCTTCTTTCCCTCCCTTTTTCCTTTAACTGCTTTGTTATTCCTCCATCTTTCCAATATTCTGCCAATAGCAATGATTTCCACTCCTGCCCTCCAAAATAATCCCCTGTTTTATAAAAGCATGTCTGCTTAGAATAGTCAAGGTAGGAAGAGGAAACTCTGACAGACACGGATATCAATCACTCCACTGCTGTTCCCTGGTTTTGACTTAAGTTGTATTAAAAGAGAATTGTTTCTGCATTAGTGTTAGTGAACAGTTCCCTTTCGAAAATGTCGGAGGCATGTTAAAGCAGGGTTTGCCTCTGAAGATGTAGCTTTGGAGTTCCATAGCTGATAAACCCGTTTGAATCTTGAGTTCATTTGCAATGATTATAGCAATTGTTGTGTATGCGATGCCTGTGAAATCTGCCAAATGGCAAAGAGGCATTAAAATATTTATCCACCACCTGTGAACAAGACTTCCCAAGGCTCCCAGAAAAAAAAATGATACTCACTGTGTTATTCATTAGGAGGCGTCATTTGCCTCAGCCATTTAACATTCATCATATATGAGTTCAGTAGTGCTTTCATAGGGGATAAAAAACAATTTCTACAAAGACAAGAGAAAGAGTGACTGCTGGCATTGCCCCAGGAGGTTTGTAGGGCCTCCTGAGTGGGTATGCAGATACAGTAATCAGATTAAAAAGCCATAACCAGCCCCTTTCCACTTTCAGATACTGAACGAGAGAGCTGCAAAGGAACTGGAGCATTTCCAGATGAGAAATTCTAAACTTCAGCAAGAAAACGAGCAACACGTTTTGGTTTGTGAACAGTTAGCCCAGGAAAACCAGCAGAAGGCGTCGGAGCTCAAAGTAAATATCCAGTCACATACTGACCCTCTAGCACTCTTTTCTCACTCCCTTTTAATACTATAGGGTGGTTTTCGTGGTTGGAATCTTAGGCTGAATAACTTGGATACATCAAGAGCAGGCACAAATCTACATGTTGCTTTATACCTGGAAACAGGCAGTTCCCATTCTTAATTCTAAAATTTGGCTATCGATCATACGCAAATGCATATGCTTCCCAAAGCAAGCTCAGAGGTTCATCTCTGTAGTCTTAACCTTGCAAGTTGCAAGTTGCCCAGAGCTAGAGACCATTGTAGGTACAGAACAAAGGTGTCAGATTGTATTTTACTACTTGCATGGAGTAGGTGGACTGGGAAGACTGTAGGAAGAGAATTTGGGCTTGTAAAACCATGATTTTTCACTTCTACCCAATATAAATATCAATGCAGGTTTCCTGCTCTTTTCCTTATCTTCATTGAAGAGTGCTGGCAAATTAGTTTGGATAACAGTTTTATATGTTGATATATATGGTATGACTTCATGCTGAACAGAACAACTTCATACTGAGCATTTTAATCCTGATAAACTTATAAACCCTATTTTGGTTATACTAGAATACTGCACATAAATGAATGATGATTCAAAAATAGTACATGCATTTGAGCAGTAAGTCATAATATATCACAGCAAAGGGCCTTTAGTGAAGATACTGAACGTACATGTACTGGTATGTATGTACACATACACACATTTATTTGCACACTTGTATCTTGCTTTACTTGTCCTCTAGGGTAGAGTTCTGGGATTTTTCTGAAATCCAATCACAGGGTCTGGATTGATAACTACTGAAATTAGAACATCTTAGAATCAAAAGGGACCTTAGGTCAACTAATTTGGACCCTGTTGGATGTAAGGCTGATAAACCATTAAAGCTGCCCAGGGGTCTTAATTCAAAAGTGTTCTTTATCAGAATGCTGTAAGTTGAAGCAAAAATGAAACGACTGCTTCATGGAAAAATGAATTAGCTCCTAAGGTGAAATTAAAGCAATAAATTTTTATGCCATGAATTCTCTCTTTTGATAACAGGCGGGGCACCTTGAGAGATAGAATATTTTTGTTAACAGATTCTGAACCTATGGGATTCTGTCTCTAGCCATAATCGAAGTATAAATCCAGTATCTCCATTATTAAGTTCTAGGGATAATCACAAGCCTTCATTTGCAGAAGATGCACTGGTTTCTTTTCCAGTAATTTCTAAGAGTAAAAACACTTTAAAAGCAAATTAATGATAAAAGTCAGGAAAAAAATTCTGGTGCTTTGCAATGGAAGAATGATTATTTTGGGGCTCATTGCCATTTTGTAGACCTCCTTTTATTGTCTCTCCGATCTCCTATTTGTACACCTTGTACAAACCTGCATAGAGAAAGGAAGACCCCTTCTGTAGTAAGTGCAATTGCACTACAGGCCACAGGGATCCAAATGAGTTTTGAGATATAATATAGCATTTAATAACCTTCTGAGAAAGTTCACTATTTGATTCTATAAAAATTGCTAATTAATCTGCACATTTGACATTTTTATTTATAATAGTGACCACACAGCATTCTTGTGGTGGTATCTGGAGACATATTTAGCTTCATAGCACCACCTATTTTATCCCAACAACAGGGTTTTGAGATTTCTCTCAGAACCGGTGTGTGTTGATTTAACCCCATGCAACAGCTTCTCACTGCCACAGGCAGCATTGCCTTTGATTAATTCTGAGTTTGCCAGCATCTAGTCATGGCCCTTTATTTACACTGTCTCTGATTAATTCTCTCTCACTAATTACAGGCCAAAGAGGATGAAGTCCATCAGATGCGCCTTGACATTGGGAAGCTTAATAAAATCAGAGAACAAATTCATAAGAAATTGCGGGTGATTGAAGAGCAAAAGGTAGAAGTGGAGCAGCATAAAGAAACACTAAAGAATCAGATTTTGGCACTGGAGAGAGGTAAACCAACAGCCATTCTATGCTTTGTCTGTGTTGTCTTATTTTATGAACGTTCTAGTGGTAATGAATGTTTTGCAACTCAGGGCTCCATATGTGCAAACCAAAACCATGAGAAAGTTTCAAAACAGTTTCATCATGGAAACTGTACAAGGAGCGGGAGCTATAGTACAGCAGGGAGGGCGTTTGCCTTAAACACAGCTGACCCAGGTTCGATCCCCAGCATCCCATATGGTCCCCCGAGCACTGCCAAGAGTAATTCCTGAGTGAAGAGCAAGGAGTAACCCCTGAGCATCACCAGGTACAACCCCTCTCCTCCCCGACAAAAAAGCAAATAATAATATAATAATAATAATGAAAGAAACTTAAAACTGGTAAGCAGAAAATATGCAGGGGATGCCATTTTGATACCTCAAACTTTCTTCTTTTTGTTGTTGTTTTTGGGCCACACCCAGCCATGCTCAGGCATTACTCCTGGCTCTGCATTCAAAGATATCCCCTGTCAGTGCTCTGGGGGCCAAATGGGGTGCTGGGGATTGACCCCAGGTCAGCCATGTGCACAACAAGCATCCTAGCCACTTGACTATTGCTACAGCCCCCAAACTTTTATTTTGTTTTGTTTTTGGGTCACACCTGGTGATGCACAGGGGTTACTCCTGGCTTTGCACTCAGAAATTACTCCTGGCAGTGCTCGGGGAACCATATGGGATGCTGGGAATCGAACCCAGGTTGGCCGCGTGCAAGACAAACCCCCTATCTGATGTGCTATCACTCCAGCCCCACCCCAAACTTTCTTATCCTAAAAAAATACTCAATTAACTATTTTGGCTCAATATAAATCCACCTCCAAGCATTAGTCAATATTTGTTGATGAAGAAAATAACAGGTCTGGATTCTTTATGATCTTTTGCCTTATTCCCTCTTTTCTGAAGAAAATAAGGGACAAGTTAGAATGAATTTCCCAATTGTACCCAGAATCAGTGGGATAAAACTTAATGATTTATAATTTTTTATTTTCTATTAATACTTTTACATATGGTGAACTCTTGTTTTCTTTTCATTTTTTATAATTTTATTTATTGAATCACCGTGAGAGCAGTTACAAAGCTTTTGGGATTAAGTCTCGGTCATACAATGAAACACCCATACCTTCACCAGTACCCATTCTCCACCACTAAATCCCTAGTATACCCCCCATCCCACACCCTCCCGCCACCTGTGGGGCAGATGATTTCCACATTACTCTTTCTCTACTTTGATCACATTCAATATTTCGACACCAGACCCACCATTATTATTTGAGATTTTACCCCAACACTCAGATATGCTGAAAAGGCAACAATAGACAATTTGTGTTCTATTGCTGGTTATGAATAACATATGATGTTGCCTGGCTGCAGTAGGGCCATGTAATTTTGAAATTCCGAAATTTTAACACTTAAATCTGAAGGGATTTCTGCCAAAAGTCACTGGGTTTCGAGATTTGCTCCTGAGTCTCTGGGATCATGGCTGTTGAGCTGCTTGATCAGGAGCCAGAGAGGCCGTTCGTGGGCGATGACTTGTGGTCTCGTTGGGGTGGGGAGGACAGGCCCAGCTCCACCCCATCCCGTGAAGCCCAACAAGTTTTGTCACTGCGGGCCCAAGCTTGACTGTCCATTGGCCTCTGGAGGATGGCAGCCACTGAGCCGCCAGGGGGAAACAGGCGGAGGGACAGCACCCTTTCCCCCCTGGGGTGGCCAGGCGACAGTAACCTACTGCAGGGTTCGGACACATTTCTGCCAAAAGCCGCTGGGTTTCAAGATTTGTTTCTGAGTCTCTGGGATCAAGGCCATTAAGCAGCTTGATCAGGAGCCAGAGAGGCCATTTGTGGGTGATGACTTGGGGTCTCGTTGGGGAGGGGAGGACAGGCCTGGCTCCACCGCCATCCCGTGAGGCACTGTGTGTCTCATCACTGGGAGCCCAAACCTGACTATCCAGTGGCCTCTAAAGGATGGCAGCCACTGGGCCACCAGGGGGAACAGGCCAAGGCACGAAACCTATTCCCACCTGGATTGGCCCAGCACCGGTAACCTACTGCAGGGACCGGGCGCATTTCTACCTAAAGCCGCTGGTTTCCAAGATTCATTTCTGAGTCTCTGGGATCATGGCCAGTAAGCAGTTCAATCAGGAACTAGAGAGGCCTTGCCTCCAATTTTATAGCTGAGCCGGAGGTGGTTTGTGGGTGTGTTTCCCACATACCTAACTTTTGGCCGTTTACTTTCTTGGTAAACTTTGCCCCAAGTTTTTGGGGTCTGGCCAAAGGCACAGCAGCAATTTTGGGGTATCTGGAAGTCTGAAGGAGCCATCAGGCTGCTGATGCACTCGCCTCACAGGTACAGATTGACCTGCTGGTGGCACCATACCCCCTTGAACTCTTGTTTTACTCAGCTACTGACTCATTGACTTGTGAGGGAAAACTTTGAGGGTCAAAGACACTGAAAACCATTAAGGATAGAAATTCTGGAGTCAGATCTGCCTTGGCTCTGGTCTCATACCCGTCACAGTTGTTGAGGGAGTGCACTGAACATAAAGTACTGTGCTTGGTGCCTAGTACATATGTAAGTGCTTTCTAAATGTCACCTATTAGTATTTAGTGTTAGTAGCTAAATTTAGTACTGATTTTGTAACAGGTTAGGCTCTTATCTCATTCTGAAAGAATAGAATTATTTAAGTAGGGCACAGGATGAAGTTTGGAATGTTAGAAACACTCTGAACTTGGAGACAGATCACCTGGGCTTGCATTCATCTTTATTTATGTGTGTTGTTGAATTGTAACTCACTGAATGAACTAACATACATGAAAGCATAAAACCATCTTGCTAAAAGCTCAATGTCTAGATAAAATTATTAGTGATATTGACATATTTTAGTGTTTGTGGAGTGCAGATACTTTTCCTTCTAAGACATAAGGAAATTGTTGTTGTTTGGGGGACAAACTTGGTGATGTTCAGGGATTACTCCTGGCTCTGCACTCAGGAATTACTCCTGGCAATGCTTGGGGGACCATGTGAGAAACAAACCCCTGTTGACTGCTTGCAGAGCAAACACCCTGCCCACTATATACACTCTGGTTCCAGGAAATATATACATACTTATATGAAATTGAGGTTCAGTTGCAAATTGTCCTGATTCATTTCTTCATTTCATTCATTCATGCACCAAATTGGGTGTATTCTAAGTGCAGGCATGATGCTGGAATTCCAGGATGCTTGTATTCTAGCATAAGCCAATGAGCCAGGATCTCACTATTCTACAAAGAAGTAATCATTGATGTCAAGAGAGGGGTTCGGCAGGGTGATACCATTTCACCGAAACTCTTCAGTGCCACCCTCGAGAACATCATGCGACGACTGGAATGGGAAGGAATGGGAGTGAAGATAGATGGTCGGCAACTACACCACCTCCGCTTTGCTGATGACATTGTTTTAATAACACCAAACATCAGCCAAGCGGCACAAATGCTGGCCGACTTTGACCGTGAATGTGGAAAGGTAGGACTACAGCTGAATCTTACGAAGACAATGTTTATGAGAAACAGCCTCGTTCCTGATGCCTCATTCGCTCTCAACGGAACGACCATCTCCGAATGCAACAGCTATGTGTACCTAGGTCGAGAAGTCAACATGACAAATGACCTGGCACCCGAGCTGCGCAGGAGGAAGAGAGCGGCTTGGAACGCCTTCAAGAACGTCGAAGAAATAGCTAAGAGGACGAAGAACCTCCGGCTCCGGGCACATCTCTTTGATTCCACTGTTCTTCCTGCATTAACATATGCCTCAGAGACCTGGGCCCTATGCAAACAGGATGAGAATGCTATTCAGGTCTCCCAAAGAAGAATAGAAAGAGCTATGCTTGGAATATCATGTTTCACTCAAATGAGAGAAAAAATCCGGAGTTCCGACATCCGTAGACGATCAAGAATCAGGGACGCTGTCTCATTTGCCAAGGTGTCAAAAATCAGATGGGCTGGTCATGTAATGAGATTTAAAGACGACCGCTGGACTAGAGCTGTTACCGACTGGATTCCACGGGATGTCAAAAGACCACGTGGCCGCCCACCTACCAGATGGTCAGACTTCTTCGTCAAGATCATGAACGATCGGTTCGAGGCTCTTCATGTTCCCAGAGCGAACAGATGCCATTGGGCTACACTAGCACGCGACAGGGACAAATGGAGACGTTACTGGCACCCGCTAGAGCAAATCGACGACTAACGGGAAGTTAAGTGATTAAGTGATTGCTTGTAATAATTTAAACTCAAAATCAAATTTAATATATGTGTATATTAGGGGATCATTCTTTCTCCGTCCACACCCCAAATTTCTTAAGTCTTGATCCCAATTCTTTATCCTTAAATTATATGTCTGGAAGTCATTATGCTCTCTTTCAGCTATATTATGGATGTCATTTATGTCATTATTTATTCTCAGATACCTCTTCCTTTTCATATGCCCACTAAAGAGTGGTACTGGACATATTTGGCAAGAGCATGAATCCTCCTATGTTAATAACTTTCTACTGCAGAATCCAAGAAACAATTGAAAAAAACTGGAAACACAAGAATTCTACATAGTGGCTGTTGAGAAAATAACTATAGATATTGGTAGCTTTCTTTCATACAAAGAATCAGGATACATGATGAAAAAAATCCCTTTTGCAATGGCAACTAAAATTTTTAAAATATATGAATAAGATATCTGAAAGACATAAAAATACCACTGCAGATTTCTGTTGAGTAAGTTTGAAGGAAAGTCTGAAAAGACTGGAGATATGTATCAGAATCCTGGAGGAGAAAACTCAATATGAAAGAAATAGGAATCTGATCAAGTTAGTCTCAACATTTAATATTTCCAAAAAAGGTTTCAGTGATTTCTGTTGTTTGGGACTTGAATACTGGTCTAGTGTTCTTCCAGAAAGATAATTGAATAGTGCTAGAGAAATGGCTGAATAAACAGACCAATGGAAAAAACTGAAAAGATTCCAATTATCTAAAATAAAGATAACTTTTCTGATCTTTAAGATTATTAGCTAAAATAAAGATGTTTTATATCACTATTTAGTATGGATTATTAAAACATGGTAAAATAAATAAAAATAGCAACATGCTAATAAGATTCTTTAATTATTTATTTACTATTATATAATTATTTAATATAAATTATAAAATTATTTAACATTTTAGGGGAAAAGATAACACAAAAGTTTATAAGTTAAGATTGGGAAATTTTATGAAATAAAAGCAAATTTTTAATGTAGCAAACTGCATATATAAAGAATAAATTGACCAAAAAATTGCCATATCATTATTGTATATGAAAACTGTTATGAATCTACAAAAAGGATAATAATTCTTGATAAAAAGGGGTAAAGTGTGGAACAGCTTGAAAAAAATATAAAAAGCCATAAAAAATGAAAAAGTAGTTTCACTACATCTCTACTAATCAAAGTAAAGTGAATTAAATGTGTAAATACTAATTTAAAAAACCTATAGAACTGCCAAAGATAAAATATAAGAATAGAACCCAATGGTGACTTGAGTGGGGATTTAAGTCACTATCACTGTCACTGTCCTCCCATTATTCATCGATTTGCTTGAGCAGTCCCAGTAACATTGTAAGACTTGTTACAATGTTCGGCATATAGGGTAGCTTGCCAGGCTTTGCCTTGAGGACAAGATACTTTCGGTAGCTTGCTGGGCTCTCTGAGAAGGGTGAAGGAATTTTTTTGAGAGATGTCTGGCAGGGGAGAAATCTCTTTTAAAAAAATTCCCTTCCGGGGGCCAGAGTGATAGTATAGCAGGTAGGGCACTCGCTTAGTATGAGCTGACTGGTTTGATCCCTGGCATCCCATATGGTCCTCTGAGCCACCAGAGGTGTCTGAGTTCTGAGGTCAGAGCCAGGAGAAAGCCCTGAGCACTGCTGATGTTGCCCCTCTCCAAAAAAAAAGAAAAAATCCAAACCAAACCAACAAAAATACCCTTCCAAAACCCACAAACCTGTTGGAGACTGGGGTTAAGGTGCTTGCCTTGCTGTGGCCACACCAATGATTCAAATCCAGCACAGCATATGGTACCCTGAACACTGGTCTCTCCACCAAAGTCCCCTTTGATACAGGATCTCTTTGTCTAGAGAAACAAATGAACAAAAACTCCTCCAGATTATTGCTTATAATTGCCTAAAAAAGAGAATCAGCTTACATGTTAAGATGAAAGAATTAGCTAAATAAATTATATATATTTTTCCTCCTGCCCTAAATGATATATTTTCATATAGTAAAATTTATTTAATGTTTGGTACTTACAAATTCAAGCTCCAGAGCAGCGTGTATAGTGCTAGTCCATTTTGGAGTGTAAATATATGAACAAATAAATGAACATATATATTCTGTATATTTTTATGATTCTTTCCATGTATGTATATTTTCATAGTAAGAATTCTGGAAAGAGACATCATGACCCTAAATAGATTCTAGTAGATGTAAGCTTTCCCTCTCGTTTGTTTATTTCTCCAATTTCTTCGTGTGTTCAAAAAAAAAGTTTAAGGAGAGCAGTGCTTTTTGGAGTCAGGGAAAACTTCTCCCATTCTCAGCCCTGTCTCCTCTTGCTGTGGACCCTGGGACTGTAGCTTAATCCCTAAACTACAGTTTCCACTTACTCAGTGGGACAGGAAGACTTGCTCTCTGAGTTGTAACGGAGACCTGATCACACTCAACAAACAGCAGTATAGCTCCCAATCGCTTGTAGAAAGCCACTTTTGTGCCACTTTGATTTGGGCAGATGCTCTCCCAGGTGAACTTGATATTCTTATTTTTTTAAAAATTTTTTAATTGAATCACCACGGGATACAGTTACAAAGCTTTCATGATTGAGTTTCAGTCATACAATGATTGGATACCCATCCCTCCACCAGAGGCATTTTCCACCACCAATGTCTCCGAGTATGCCTCCCACCATTCCCACTCCACCCCACCCCTGCCTCCATAGGAGGAAGTTTCCTTCTCTCTCTCTCTCTCTCTCTCTCTCTCTCTCTCTCTCTAATTTTTGGTCATCATAGTTTGCAATACAGATACTGAGAGGCCATCATGTTTGGTCCTTAATCTACTTTCAGCACACATCTCTCATTCTGAGCAATCCCCCCAACCATCATTGACTAAGTGGTCTCTTCTCCATCCCAACTTCCTTCTCCCCAGCACATGAGGCAGGCTTCCAAACCATGGATCAAACTCCTGGCCCTTGTATCTACTTTCCTTGAGGGTTAGTCTCATACTATGTTATTTTATATTCCCCAAATAAGTACAGTCACTATATGTCTGTCCCTCTCTGACTCAGTTCACTTAGCATGATACTTTCCATATCCATCCACTTAAAAGCAAATTTCATGACTTGATCTATTGTGTAGATGTATCATAGTTTCTTTAACCATGGACTTGACATTTATGTTTGCTTTTCTCCCTTGCAATTTAGAGGTGGAAGCATCAAAGAAACAAGCAGAGCTTGATAAGAAAGCAATGGATGAGCTTCTGAGAGAAAGGGATATATTAAATAAGGTCAGTGTGTCATAGTAACGTGGTAAGTACAGCCATAATTGCTGACTAACAGGTTTCAAACAAAACCTGGGCAAACAGAAGTCGGTTAGGATGAGTACTAATGCTCAGTTTCCCCATAAGCAACAGTCCACTGTTCATTGTACACTGTCCGAAGCCCACTGTTCACTGCTCCATGTTTGAAACTGTATTACCACCACCTAGGACGCAAAAGGACTTAGAAGAACTATAATATAAATGCACAGGGGATTTACATGCTTTGTGTGTTTTGTTTTTGTTGCTGGTGTGTTATTTGATGGTATTCTGAGCTTCTGGTCAACATTTTTGTTGAATTAGATATCTATAATCTGTGTTTTTTGCTACTGCAGAAAATACAAGTAAATGCTACTAAAAAAATCCCCTAATGTTTGAGGGTGATAGTTGGTGGTAAGAAACCCCAGTGGTGATGAGGATGCCTAGTGGGTGGTAGGAAACACTTCTTGCCTTTCTTCTTTTCAGGATTGTTGCAGGCTGTGGTCCTTCTGCCACACCCTACCACCCACTCCTGCTCTGATCTCTTCTGGTATTTGAGTGCAATATGATACAAAGCTGAGGGATCTTGAGACCCTCTATTCCAGCTCTCTCCTTCAAAAGGTCCCTTCCAGAGGATTCCTTCCATTATAGTCACTCTCAGGAGATTATCTTCTGTCAAGGATTTAGGGACAACTTTCTGCTCAAGGATTTTCTTCAGGAAGCACAGGTGTACTATGCAGAGTCAGCTTCCAGAACAGATGGCCTGATGACTTTTGGTCAAGACAGCTTCATCTCTTCAAAGTTGAAACAACCTCTATTTGTTCAGTTTGATTTTCATTCTTTCTTTACATTTCCCAGAATTGAACAGATGTTAGCAAAATGGACTGCCTTTAATCTTTAAATAAAGAGTCTTGAAGGGAGAAATACCAGAAAATAATAGGCTATTAGATGATAGCTTTATAGCATACATCAGATAGCTTTAGATGCTGAATACTTCTTAAGAAAAATCATAATTTCCTGATATAATGCATTCCTTTCCTCCATAAATTTATATATGAAAATAGTATTATTACATTTAAAATTTGTTTTTAACAATACAATTTTAATACATTCATATTTTATATTTTATACAGACTTGTAAACAGTAAGTTTTCTGCTATGATAGGACATGTAGCCCAACCTGAATTTTACATTTAATTTGATTTGACTGATGCTAACTGCCCCTCTCAGAGAGTCTGGCAAGCTACCGAGAATATCTCACCTGCACAGCAAAGCCTGGCAAGCTACCCGTGACGTATTTGAGATGCCAAACACAGTAACAAGTCTCACAGTGTTACTGGGCCCGCTCGAGCAAATCAATGAACAATGGGAGGACAGTGACAGTGACAACTACTTCTTTTAGGCAAGGCAAACTTTTTTCTTTTTTTCCCTCCTGGCTATGGCATCCTTTGCACCCATGCCCAACCTTTTGCAGGTATGCAATCAACTTTTCCTGGTAATACATCATTTCTCCATAGTCTTGAAATGCTGCCTTTGTCAGTTGAATGAGGGATACAGTTTTGACAGCAGGCAGTGTTAACGCAGTTTGGTTCTTTCAGTGTCATGTCAAAGTGCTTTGTCTCTGAAAGAGAAAATGTTTAATTCAGTGCTTAAAAACAAAGTTGACCTTTTTTATTTTCTACACTATCACCCAACCAAGGTTTAAGGTGCACTTTACCTGTTTATTTTCTAGTGCTTCTCAGATCTGGCTGTAGGCAAGTGATGATTAGAGGTTTGGGACAGGACTATTGAGGTGCCTATGGTAACCCGAGGAGATAGAGGGGTCTCAGGAACTGACCTGGCCTGGCATTCTTGGGGAGGCAATGTTCTTCCTTTATCACTGGACTTTTTAAGTTTTTCCTCCATCTGCCTTTCTTTTTAATGAAATTGTTTATTTCTTAGGTCTTATAGCAGAAAATTGCTATGACCAACAGCTTCCTATTTAGATCTTCTAGTGAGTTGCAAAAATTCTAAAGATCCTACTTCAAAAGCCCATAGGATTTTTTGATGGGTGATTAGGTCCATTCAGCTGCGGCTAGGGAAGTAGCCAAACCATCCTGAGTTATCTGCTGTTAACTCTGTGATTCAGGGGAATGACCTGGCTTCTTAGGGGACCAACCCAAGGCATTTCCACTTCAGTGTCAGAAACCATCAACTCATCTTTAAAAAATCCAGGGGGTCACAAGGAAGATAGCTCAAGTAGAAGATCACATGCTAAGCTTTTGCAAGACCCACATTTGATCCCTGGTACCATGTGCCTCCCAACAATTACTGGGTGTAGTTCTGAAGGCCCCCAATACCTTTATACTGTGCGCTGCTAGATGTGGGAATATGAAAATAACCTAGGTGCTTTGAGTGTCATCCCAGATTTTCTGAATATAAATCTTTGGAGTTGAGACACGGACATCTGTGTTTTAAAAAATATTGAGTTAATTTGTGTGTGTGTTAAAATATGCATGAGAAAAAATTTGCTTGATACATTTGTATGCGTATTTAGTGTCTTGTACAATATTATCATGACAAGAGAGGATATGGTTCTTTTTATTTATCAAAAACAATGCATCTAATTATTTTCAAGATGAAACAATAAAGTTCACTAAAAGTCATATGAGTTTTGAGCCATGTGACGGTTGTGTTGTCCTTTTTTAGAATATGGTTAAAGCAGTTCATGCAACCCAGAAACAGATTGACCTGGTAAAGCTCCATGAACAGGCCAAGAGGAACCTGGAGGAGGAAATCCAGAACTACAAAGAGGAGGCTCAGAAGCAGAGGAAGATCATCTTCCAGCTGGAGAAGGATAGAGATCGGTACATCAATGAAGCCAGTGACCTCACACAAAAGGTAAGCTGCTCCTGGGTGATGTGGAGAAGCATCAGCCTGGTTTGGACTGCGACACACTGAGGCAAAGTGGACCGACTCAGATTTCAATTCGGGGTTCACATAAAGATCTAAGAGCGCTAACGTTCACAGAATGAGAACAGTCCAGAGCTGTTCTGGGTCAAATAGTGAAACGGTTAAGGCTTGGCTTTGATAGTTTCCATTTTCCCTTTCTGGGATCTTTCTCTCAACTTCTGGGCTCTTCCTCTTCCTTATGGCCCTGCCGTGTGGTACCCTCAGTTCTGCCTCACCAGGGCTGTAGGCATCATGGCTCTTTGGTTTTCATGCCCCATCTGTCTCTCAGAGCCAGTATGCCAATAAGTTGTTAGGAGAAAAGCAACTAATTAGTGGCTTCTGGCCTCAGTGAACCATGTTACATATTCACAAAGCATTCTAATTTTAAAACAGTTGCAAGCCTAAAATCTCATCAGTGATGGAAATCCATAGGCTAGCTAGCTAAGTTCCAGACTGTACATATTGGAAACTGCTTTTGAAGTTGAGAGCTCAGGACAGAATCTTTGAGAATGACATTAGTTAGGGATCTGTCTTTGACTTAAATCAGTTGTCTTAGTTGTAATTGCCTACATTAAGCATAAGGGTTAAATGAGAGCTCTCTTGAGGGCCCAGAACTGAGGTTTCAAGATCAGGGGCTGTGGAGCAGAGAAGAGTTTGAGTTAGGAGCCTTGAGAAGACTTGGGGAGATCCGGGAGAGAAGACTCATTTGATAAGATTATTTCTTTTTCTTCCAGAAAAATGTGGTTATACAGTGCAAGTACTCTCTTCTGTCTCTGCAATGACACCTGCAGTAAAGCCTCCAGTAGTTACTAGGGCTTGTGCAGGTGTTTTTTATTGGGGTTAAATCTCCAAGAAGATGACAAAGGAGACAGATACCGTTTGAGTTGTGAGCATAAGGAAAGTGGAAAATAAGCTTTGCTATTAGGAAATCAGCTTAGATCAAATAAAAGCTCAGCGGGTAATCTCAGAATGTAGCCGTGGAAGACACTGACACTGACCGATACACAGTCCAGCCCTGGGCATAGGTTCTTTGCCTTTTCAAATATTCCCATGATTCTCAGTCCCTGACTGGGAGCCTTTGTAAGACAGCATATTTCCCTTCTGATTTAGCTGACTTAGACGCTCCATTGATTGGTTTTCTAACTCCCAGAGGAATAGTCAATTTTCTAGCTTGGACTAGCCCACTAAGTCTCTGGATGAGTCATCTTAAACTGCAATAAATAACCCTAAACTCTCATTGGTCTGTAGCAACAGATACGGTTTTTTGCTCATATTAGTGGCCTATGAGAGTCAGCCACAACCTTGCCTATGTCCTCTTTCTTCGAGGCTTACCCTGTCAGGGCCACTGCTAGCAGGAGACAGGCATGGAATCTTTGGCCAAAGCAAGTCATACAGTCATACCTGACATTCCTGAGTAGGAAGGTGATCTTCTAAGGGGGCATGGTGACTGTAACTGAGCATATAGTTTGTTGCAGCCTCTTATTTCTTCCTGATAATAAGTTTCTCTCCCCTCTTGACTGCCATCACAATGTTAGAGTTAACTAGTGAAAGTGTCAATGTGAGACATTTTTTTTTCCAGCCTTACAAACATGTCACCTCTTAGCAGTGTGGGTAGTACTTCCTAACTTTTTTTTTACATCATGACATAAAATGTTATATCTACACCCTGTGGAAATAGGGGATGAATCTTTTCACAGCTGGGTAGGACTAACCCAGGGTTAACCATCTGTTCAGTTCCCACCTGACTATTCTAGGGATAGGATCTATCAATATTTTGCAATAGATTTGTAACCCATGCAAGACAAAGCTCTTGGTATACCCCAAATTCAGACTTTCTTCTCCCTAGAAGTTCTTTCTCCCTTGCTCTACATGAAAGCCTTTTTTAGCCTTCAGTAACCACTTGAAAAGAGCAGAAAAGCAAGTAAACAAAATCCGAAGAAAATAATGGCAGATTTGGCCAGGTAGATAGCTCAAAAGACTAAAGTGGATACTTTGCACGCTAGAGCCCCAGATTTGATCCCTGGCTGCAGATAGTTTGCTGGGCACCACTTGGAGTGACCCTTAAATACTGAGTTGGAAGTAGCCCCCTAGCATTGTTGGTATGGCCCTCAAACCAACAACAAAGGAATGGATTTAAAATCTGCATTGAGAGGGGCTGGAGAAATACTACAGTGGGAAGGACATTTGCCTTTCATGTGCTGACCCAGGCTTGATTTGGGGCATCTCATATGGTTCCCCAAGCACCGCCAAGAATAATTCCTGAGTACAGAGTTAGGGGTAATCCCTGAGCATTGCCAGGTATGATCCAAAAAGCAAACAATAAAATAAAATTTAAAAATCCACATTGAAATTAATAAACAACAGAAACAATGTTTTGGAAAACAAAAACAAATTTCAGTTCAAGTTTCTATTTGAGAAATTCTCTTAGAATGCAGAGGGGAAAAAAAAAAGAACAAAGAGAAATTCCCAGAGGGCATGTAAGCAAGAACAGGGAATTAAAGCAGCACACACAGAGAGGAATTCTGGCAGTGGAACTGAGCCACAAAACAGAGATGTATGTAATGGGGAAACATTTTTGGTAGATAAAGCCTTAAGCATGCAGTCTGAACATATTCCAGATAAACATATTCCAGTGACAGGAGAGTCTCCTGATCTTATCCTAGAGGAAAGGTTATATATTGGGACAAGAGAGCTAGAAAAAGGATTAAGGCACTTGCCTTGTATGCAGCCGATCTAGGTTCAATCCCTGCACTACAGTTGGTCCCCTTGAACGCAGAGCCAGGAGTAAATCCTGAGCACCACTTGGTGTATTCCAAAAACAAACCCAAAAAAGTTTGTGTGTGCATGTTCATCACTGTCACCGTCACTGTCCTCCCATTGTTCATCGATTTGCTTGAGCGGGCCCAGTAACGTCTCCATTGTGACACTTGTTACTGTGTTTTGGCATATCGATTTTGTCATGGGTAGCTTGCAAGGCTTTGCCGTACGGGCGAAATACTCCTGGTAGCTTGCTGGGCTCTCCGAAAGGGGCGACAGAATCGAACCTGGGTTGGCCGGGTCAGCCACATGCAAGGCAAATGCCCTACCCGCTATGTTATTGCTCCGTGTTCATATGCTTTTATATTCACTTTGCATTGTTTTTACCTACAATGATGCAGAAGGGTATTCTCTGAGAATTAGACAAAAAGGAAAAGGAGAAGCTGAGTTGCCTTTACTTTTTAATAGGAAAAGATGGAAGGAGATATACCAGCATATTAACAGTGATTATCTTTGGATGGTAGTGAGATAAATGGTTTTAGTTTTCCTCTTTTATGCATTTTGTATTTTCCCAGTTTTCTAAAACAAACACAATTTACTGTAGTATCTGATAAAAAGAATAAAGACAAACTATTAATAAAATCTTGCCCTTTTTTCAAGAAGCAAATGAAATTTCACTTCCCCAAGGAGCATTATTAAAACTGATCTCCAACCCCTCCAAACTTGGTTCCGTGCCCTGGCAGTGGAGGAAATTCTGTATTATCTTGCCTTTGTTTGCGTATCTGCTTCCTTCTACTTACAGACTCCTGGAAGGCAGGTCTTATTTCCTTCTGAGCTCCTTAGAGTAGTTTTTGCTAAGTAGATTTTCAAATAGTTTCGAAAGAATGAATAGAAAGCCTAATCAGACATGTGACTTAGCTAGCCCAGGCTTACTTTTGGGTACATGGATTAAATCTTCAAGGATGTATTTATTGCTATGGATGTGCCCTCCCTCTGAATCCCCATGGTACATGCTGCCATGGCATCGTCTCTGGATCAGCCTTGGCAATTGCAGCTGTGAGCCACTTGCAGCTCCATCTCATCTTCCCTGTGGGCTGCAGAAAATAGTACCAATTGTTTGCCTTCAGGCACTCTCTGTTTGGAGAAATATGAGTAAAATCTACAATGCTGAAAGCGCCACATTGCATTTTATTAATTTCGCTTTTGCATTTTTAAATTAGAAAGAAGATTTCTTTGGGTGTCAAAACTGGATTGTTCAAAATCTCAAGTCTTTTCTTAGTATTTTTTATTTTTTCTTAATCAATGCTCCATAATAATACTGCATAGTACACAATCAGTAAGTCTCACTTTTCACTCATACACCTGCAATTCATGGAGCTCAGCTGATCGGGGCTAGGCTTGGCTCCAAGATATGCCTTGGGTCCTGTTCTGTTTGTGGGTTTCTCATCCTCCCAGCATCAAAGTTCTTCTCAAGGAGATAGGAAGAAACATGAAGGTAGCCATTTGTAAGGTACCCCACAAGCATATTTCATGACTCCCTTCTTTTTTGTTTTCTGGAATCCCACTGGGCTTGAGCAAATCACCAATCCAAGCTCAACCTCAGTAACATGGGGGTAAGAAGCAATTGCCTGGAGACTGTGGGAGCAGGAAAAGGGCGTAAAGGTGTCCTGAATGATAAGGTAATCTACTACTTTGGGTTGCAGCTTTTTTTTTTATTCTCGTGGACTTTCCTCTGTTGCATTCTAAAATTTGCTATTCAAGCAAATCAAGACACCCTGGGAATGAATGACATTACAAGTTTTGGTCCTCCATATTTATTCTTCTGAATATTCACAATTTTTAGGTAAAATAACCCTTGTTAATTATTAAATTTTCCAAACATTTTCTACCTGTTATATATTTGTCTCATTTTGGGATACTCCTTTATCGTTCTAAGTATTAGTCTTCTGACAATTTCCTGCTAGACATTTTGTATGCCAAAAAAGTGTTCCTTCACCATGAATTCCTATTCATATGCTTCTTAACTCACTGCTTATTTGCCTATAATAATGTCAGGCACAGCTTTTTTAGACAGAGGTGCCAAGACATGAATAAAAATGTACTTTAAAGGGCTTAGAAGTGAGGAAAGCAAAGGTAATCAAAGGAATATCATTCAGAAAATAGATATCTTTCCAATGGAAAAAAACTCCTGT